TGTCAGAAATAAGTTTTTGTGTAATTTTTTCTTGTGGTCAGGGTTCCTCCTTATTTACAGCTGGTCATGAAACAGCAGCAGATCCCAGCACACACTGCAATGGTCGTGAAATCAGTTCATCTGAAATTCTGTAATGGATGGACAGAATCTTTGCATTGCTTGTTTTTTTAATGGCAGAATTAATTAAAGAATAGTCTCTGTGTCATGTGCATTCAAAGAAGTATCCCAAATGTAGGTGTTACGTAGAACTAAAATGTCTTTTCTCTGTCTTTATTCTCCTTGTATCACAGTGCTTGGAGTAGAAATAAATCCTATTTTCCTGCCACTGAAGGAACAACAATGGAATGAAATTCTGTCTGTAGAACTCATTTGCTCACCTGTGTTACTCTGAACTGACTGTTTAGTAAACTAACCAGCAAACTTGGGCTACAGGTACTGCTCATAATTCTCACATTCCCTGCTTTTTCTCATGCTTATAAGCATACTTACCTATTACGATGTCAAGTTTTATAGCGTGGGAAGGTCTTAAACTAGTTACACAGCTAGGAAAACAGCACTTCTTTAAGGTGCTTTAGACAGGAGTGGTAACTGAACACCAATCTCTTACTTAGCAAAATACCAGCTTTGCCAAACAGCCTTTTCAAAAGACCATGTCACACAAGATATGACTGCAAATTATGTGTTTTGCCTGGTAGCAGCAAGAGACTTCTTAAATATCAATGAACCTACTTTGATGCCACGAGAGCTGGTTCTTCAGCTAAAATATATTTTCTTTGTGTTTGACCCTGCAAGTTCTGGGTTTGGTTTTTACAGACAACTCCGCAGGACTACTACAAATTTCACAAGGTTATCTGTAACCCCTGTTTCCTCCTCCTCCCAGATGGTCCTGGTACTGAGATGGAAAGAAGAGAACTCAAATGGCCCACTGGTGCTATTATTTTAAGTACTTAGGTCAAGTATCAATCTTAATATTTTTCTTCTTTGTATTTGCACTTACATGATTGCTGAGCTGGAGTGCCTGCTTCTGTTGTATGTACGTGTGGTTCTCTCAGCTTGTGTTTGGGCTGTGGAAACTTGGGATGAAAGCTCTGTGCCAGGGTACTGTATGCCATACAATGTTGGCTAATGGGGTTCCTTGAAATCCCTTCACATTTCAAATAGATTTATGAATAAGGGGGGCAGTTTGAACACATTGCAAACCTCTAAAGCCTTAGTGAATCCTGAATTTGGCCATCTCAACTATTTATAGAACACTCTATGGCTATTCTAAATATATTTTCCTCAAGGGGACCTCATCTCAACACCCTGTTCCACAGCTTAAATTGGATCAGCAATGCTGCTATGACCTGTTAGCAAAAGTTCCTTCTCTAGCTCTGTGGCAGAGCTGCAGATGTTGCTGGTCCAGGCCTTGAAGGGGAAATTCTGTGCAAGGCAGAGCTCAAGGGTTTGGATTTAAACTGCAGCCAGCCAGGTAGAGCGATATTGATGATATATTGGATCATTTCCTCTAGCCATTGCCAATATTGTTTTATATTCCTCCTCTGCTGGTAGGTCTAGAGTTCTGGAGGGGGAAAAACAAGTGACTTCTTGGCAGTGTATGGCACCTTTCCCTTTCAGGAGTCTTCAGCCTTGCAAACTAAGCTTAATGGTGAGCATGCAAAACATTTTCTTTCTAGAGGAAGTGTAAAGAGTGTTCTGTGGGCAGAAAGCATTTCCTATTGCAAGGATGCTTGAAATTGGTGTTCTCTTTTTCTTTCTCTGCTATAGGGAAGAGAAGTGCCTCTTGTGTGGGAGTACCTACATGACAGTGCTTGGAGAGCTATGCCTCTGACTCTATGGGATGGTTCTTCCTGAAATGTTTTCCATGCAGATGCCTCCTCTTTGCTAGCTGGCATTTTTTAACCCCTCTGGCAGCAGAGCAGGCTGTGCAGTCTTTGTCCAGTGCAAGCTTTGCTTTGTGTTAGTCAAGGCAGAAGTGCTGTAAGATGGTGTAGAACTAACATTACAGGAGTGGCTCCTGCTTTCTTCTGGCTTTGGAGGTTGTTCACTGTTATTTTCCAGGCAGATGAGCATGGGGCATTTAGAAAGCAGTGCTTGAGTCCCACCTGCTGTTGACTGAATGGGATCAGACTGTCAACTCTATTGCTCCCACATAAGGACAGAGGATCAATTCAGGCCAAGGAAAGCAACTCATCCCGCAATAGATTCTGTAGTAGAAAATCTCTACCTTTTAGAAAAATGGTATGATTTTCTTTTTCAGTCAAAGGCTCTGGCTGTACCATAGGATAGAGGTTTTTGGTGCAAAGGGTACACTGCAGAACTTCACAGGACATTTTTCATCCTTCAAGTTTAAAAATCTTTAGAAAAATACATCCTTTATTGAATGCCATAGGTTTGAACAGTTTCTTCTGTAGGATGGTTACATTTTGTCTGCCTCTCTCAGGAACATCTGCAGATCTGTGTGGCAGATGCTGCAGATCACAGTCCTGAATGGAAAATTTTGGGTCAGTGTAGAGGCAGGATGGGCCATCAGGACCCTACATATCCTGAATAGCTGTGCTGCCCCACAGTAAGGGTCGGTACTGACTTGTATGCTCGAAAAAAAGCAGCTGCTCCCTGTCCTTATGATGTGATTGACCCAGACTCTACTCCATGGGTCTTGGACTCAACTTACAACTGGGGTGTAAAGCACCAAGGCTACTTGCACGGGTTCAAGGACAGGATTTGGAAGCAGTGTGTCAGTACTGTCTAGAGAAGTCATGTCAGTTTAGGTACCCATTGGAAATCCCCTTCTTCTGGGTGTGGCGAAGTAGTGACTGCCACTTACTTGGCCTCAGGGATAGAGAAGCCTGTGTAAGGCTTTGCTACTCCATAGATCAGGGTAACATAGCTCACTGTTTATCTAAGCCTCGGAAAATGTCTTTGAGGTTGACAGAAGCTTTTCTTGGTTATTACCCTTTAAGGAGAATGGGGCAGCATGTGGCAAGATCTCAGAATGGGATTAGCTCAGGACTTAGCAGGAAGAGTTTCTTAGCACTCCTCTAGAGCTATTTCCTTCTCTTGCAGCCTCTGGAGCTGCATGAAATGGAAAGAGTTATGTCCTTGCCTGCCTGGCAGGAAAATCCCAGCTCAGTGCAGCAAAATGGACTGGGTCCAGTGCTCTTGGAAGCAATAAAACAGGTAAAGTGTATGTAACAAGGAGTTTCACATGGGGGGTTGCACAGTTACCCTGAATGTTGCCCCAGGATACATTCCCCTTCACACACAGGCCTCTTCCTACAGTCTCCTTGGCTCTTCCAGAGAATCAGTGTCAGCATAGCTTTAGATTTTGCTCCGGTCATGGCTTACCTGTGTGCATGCAGATAGCGTTTCCTTGCCCCTGTCCTAGCATGCAGAAAGGGACAGGTGAGTCTCTCCGAGAGCACGGCAGTGCAACTCAGGCTGGTGCAGCACTCAGTGCCTTGGGGTGCTGCTGCTGCTGCACTCTGCTAGGGAGACGCGTTCTCTTCAGACAGTATCTGTGATCCCATGGGGATACGTTAACTCAGGAAAGGCCCTGCAGTACCTGGGGCTATGCCAGAATGGGCACTCGGACTCTGGCGCTGATCATTTGTGTTAGCATTTTAGTAAAGAAGCACTCCTAATGTACCTGTCTGTGGTTCCTGGTCTGACAGTGTGATTGGAAGCTCTCTGGCTCGCCTCGTCATGCCTCTGGCTAGTTATTCCCACTGACGTCTCTCTAAGACTGGCTTCCTCGTAATGGAAGGTCTCCATTTGACCACTCTTGATATAAACAAACTATAGTGCCTTTCGAAAGGTAGAGAAAGTAATGCATGCCAACAAAAACTAGTACATTTGTGCTTGTAAGAAATGGTGATATATCCCCTTTGCAGTGCTTATAAGAGATGCAGCTTCTTTATTCAGTCACTGGCCTTAGTTCCCTTGTGGCCTGGGTGTGTTGTCTGAACTGAGGCTGGGAAGGAATCAAGAGCATTTAACCACAAGATGAACACCAGGAGTGAAACAGCCCAGACACCAGAAGCAGACTACAGAGCAGTCAAAGTGCAGGGCTCAATTTTAAGCCTAATTTGAACATTGAATGAGGTGCTAATATCTCAGCTACTGTGTGGAATCTCTCCTCAGTCTGCTGTTCGCGTTCTGTGAACAGAGTATATATAGCACACGCAGTGAAAAACTGGCTTTGCGCAACTGGTGCGGGCAGTGCAGGGTGAAGGGAAGTGTCTGGTTTTGGTGATGAAAATAGAAATCTGTCTTCGTGTCTGTGCTCTGGGGAGATGATCAGATACTTTATGGCATGATACTGTCATTATAGCTTGCAGAAGAAATTTCAGAGCTGGCTTCTGTAATTGCCTGATAGTTTAACCTGTCTCCATTGCCCCATAAGAGGAGGACGTATTGCCTTCATTCATGTTGCCTTGTTCGTTGGTAAATGTAAAGCAAATTGTAAAATCAGACCTGCTTGAACTAACATTTGTCGCTATTCATTCACTCACACACAAACCAGCTCCCTGATGCCGGTCCAGCTTTTTTCTTATACCAGAGGGAAAATAAGAACAGTGAGCCAATTAATACTCTCTTTTCTTTTTGAAGTGTCGGGGAAGCATTTGGATACCATGAGCGACAATATGGTTAAAAACCAGTTTAGAAGGTGTTTAAAGAAGTTAAATTTAGTCCTGGAAGTAGCTTTGCTGTGTTTTATCAGAGGCTTCTGCTTTTTCCCATTGCTCCCAGTATGATATTTAGGATGGACATCACCCATTCCCAGGAGTGCAGGAAAAGCCCTGCCTGGAGTCAGGTGGGACTAAAGGTTGGCTGAGTGCTGGGCTTGGTGTGCGTTTGTGTTACACGAACAGTGATGGATACCTCTGGTTGCTTTTTTTCCTGCTGGGCATGGGATGGGTTTTAATCCTGGTTAAATCCTGTATCCCAGATCTGTTTGCCTTCTCTTGAAATGACTTCCCTTTCTTTCTTTTGCAGGCATGGTTCAGAAACTTGACCAGAAGCTCCCTGTAGCCAACGAGTACCTGCTGCTTTCAGGCGGTGTGCGGGAAGGCGTGGTGGACATTGATCTCGATGAGCTGAATGTTTATGCACGAGGCACAGACTATGACATGGACTTCACCCTGCTTGTGCCCGCACTGAAGCTGCATGACCGCAACCAACCAGTGACACTGGACATGCGCCACTCGGCTTTGTGCCACTCCTGGCTGAGCCTGCGTCTGTTTGATGAAGGAACTATCAGCAAATGGAAGGACTGCTGCACGATTGTGGACCATATCAATGGATCTACCAATTATTTCTTCTCTCCGACAAAAGTTGCAGACTGGTTCTATGACTCCATTAGCATTGTCCTCTCCGAGATCCAGAAAAAGCCTCAGCGAGGGATGCCAAAGGTGGAGAAGGTAGAAAAGAATGGGACTATCATATCCATCATTTTGGGAGTGGGCAGCAGCCGCATGCTGTACGACATTGTCCCTGTGGTGTCCTTCAAAGGTTGGCCAGCTGTGGCCCAGAGCTGGCTGATGGAGAACCACTTCTGGGATGGGAAGATCACAGAGGAGGAAGTCATCAGTGGGTTTTACTTAGTGCCTGCATGTTCCTACAAGGGGAAGAAGGACAATGAATGGAGGCTGTCATTTGCCAGAAGTGAAGTGCAGCTGAAAAAGTGCATCTCCAGCAGCCTCATGCAAGCCTATCAGGCCTGCAAAGCTATCATCATCAAATTGCTGTCCCGCCCCAAAGCCATTAGTCCGTATCACTTGCGGAGCATGATGCTGTGGGCTTGCGACAGGCTACCAGCCAGCTACTTGGCCCAGGAGGATTACGCAGCCCATTTCCTCCTGGGTCTCATTGATGATCTCCAGCACTGCTTGGTCAACAAGATGTGCCCTAACTATTTCATCCCCCAGTGCAACATGCTGGAGCATCTCTCTGAAGAAACTGTCATGCTGCATGCGCGGAAGCTGTCCTCAGTCCGCTCAGACCCTGCCGAACACCTTCGAACTGCCATCGAACATGTCAAAGCAGCCAACCGGCTAACACTAGAGCTCCAACGGCGGGGCAGCACCACCAGCATCCCCTCCCCGCAGTCAGATGGAGGGGACACCAACCAGCCTGATGACCGATTAGCCAAAAAGTTGCAACAGCTAGTGACTGAGAACCCTGGGAAGTCCATCTCTGTCTTCATTAACCCAGATGATGTCACAAGGCCCCACTTCAGAATTGATGATAAATTTTTCTGAGCTTTTGTCAATGTTTCTTGGGATTTTTTTCTTTTGTTTCATTTTTAAAAACTCTTGCAGTGTGCAGGTTTTTTGTTTGGTTTTCCTTGATGACTTAGTCTCTTGGTTTTTACATATCCAGCGTAGATTGGATCTGTTGAGAACAATCTGAATAAATTATAATTCCTGGTTCTGCAGGACGGTGCAGATTTTGAAACAGTATATTACTATTTCATATGCTGCTTTGATTTTTTTCGCCCACCCAGCCCCACTGTCTGTGAGTAGTTTCTAAAGCAGAACATGCACTGTAAACACACATGCCACAGCATAATGTAGATTTTTTTTTTCAAGCTTCCATAATTTATGTACATTGTTGGGCCTGGGGAAGGGAGAACTCACCTTCTGTTGCTTCAGAAATTCACTTCTTTTTCCATGAGCTTCCATCACCCTAAAGAAAAGAGGAGAGACTCTGGGTCGGAAGGCAGTACTGGTAATTTGACGAGGCCAAATCTACTGGGCTGAAGCCCAGTTCATCTGTTCTTCACACTTCTCACACTAGGGGAGAAAGTTGACTTCAAAGATGATGG